ACAATTCAAGAGATTCTTCATAATTGAGAGCCTTCAAATCATATATACTTTCAACCCCATGTCTTACAAGTAAATGCTTATCTCATCGTTATAATGATCCTACTCCCACCATCAAACCAATTATAGTCACCAGCTAATTTTTCTAGATGCTCATGTTTATCAACATTATCAAGAATCAAAAAAATTTTCTTTTGTTTGAGTCTCATTCTTATTGCTTTAACTCCTTCATTAGGATCCTGTATTTTGATGTCCGGTCTTATAATCTTCAAAATCATTGTCTCTTACATTCGTTGTAGGTAAGCTTGCTTGAGTTTTCTTTGATGTCATGGAGAAAGCATATGCCTTCAAAATTATCAACAATCGAATTATACACTGCACGTGCTATTGTTGTTTTACCTATTCCTCCTTTTCCACAAATTCCTACCATGTTGGCCTCTTCATTTGATCCAATTTTTAATAAAGATTTTCTACTTGACATTTGAGACTATAAGCCAATAGGATATCTAGCAACATGCGAAGGAGCCCTATCAATTTTACTAGATATTTCTTTCACAATCTTTTTGATTAACTGATATTCATAATATAACCATGCTGAAAAATTGCAAAAATAATGTCAATTCTAATTAAATACATCCTAGCAAGAAATTTATGTTCATTTACTTATATAACCTGATACAAACTAAGTAAAGAAAACTATTTAAAAGTTATAAATTACCTTGTATCAAAATAGAAACCAGAAATGTTAGAAATTTCATGCAATGCAAGCTTCCAACTTTATATCTTATCCTCATTGGCCCTGAGGTTTTTCTTATGCATAAATAGTGCATGTTCATAATTTTCCTTTTTATGTTGCACTTCTGATGGCTCCACATCATAAAAAATTGGCAAAACTAACCTACCATTTCTCTTAATACACTGATAGATTGTAACAAGCTCGTTGAGACAAAATGATGATGAAATTTAGTTCTTAGAAAATATAGTAATGGCCATCCTAGAATTTTCAATTGCTTTGAGAAGTGCAGGGGGTAATTTCATCCCCTCTCTTAGTTCCTCATCATCAAGGAAGGTGTAAATTCCCTTTCGACTTGGAGAATGATACAAATTTCCTATAAAACCATAACAAGTATCTTTGCATGAGTATACATGGATCCTTGCCCTTTTAAATTCAATTATAATTCTTTAATCAAATTCAATGATTTTCCAATAATGCAATGTAACAACAAAGAAAATAATGCAAATTTAAAAATGATGATAGTATAAACAGGAGATCAAGAACACGATACCATCATAACTGGTGCAATCCCAATTCACATCATCATCATCAAATGAGGAGCTATCTTCGGTATCATAATCTATATGTTACAAAAAGGTTGAAACAATCTGGTCAACAAATAGAGAAATGAAGTGACGGATTCCGATCATACCTACTAAACTAATCAATATTTGTTTTGAACAACAAATATATGATGCAATCCACTCTATTTTCTAATAATTAATAATTTTATAATTCAACAATAAACATCCTCATATTTCTATGACTTCGCATAGCTGATTCAATAAAGTAGGACATACAAATACAATAACATAAAGGAAAATGATAAGAGAAAGCTTAGAAGAAAGAGATATAGATGATAAGAAATTCTATGATAGATCAAAGAATCACCTTAGTTTGTGAAATCTAATCCTTCATAGGGATCAATGAATCAAATATTTTTCATCTTACAAAGTTGTTTGATTAGATAAACGTCGATCTCTTCTACAACCATGTCATCATTGTGACAACCTAGACGTAACTTCTTATTAATCCACTTACCTTATCAGATTGCTAGATCATTTGCATCATCACTGTACCCCCTTAGATCCATCACAATTATATGATCAACATTTGGTGTGGGACAAAGCCAATTTTCACTCCTCAAACCATGTGACGGATCAATAAGGTACACTGAATTGCCTATAGCGACATTTTAATTGAACTATGTCCACTGGTTTCAAATGAGCAAAGAGCCATAAAGGTGGGCTAGACCTACGACACCAAAAAGAAATTGATGGTCCTCTACTTCTACTATCCAACTCAAACCAATCTGGGATGCTTGTTGTGGGCACACAAAACTTGTCTCCATCGTATTTGATTACAATCCTAATTGATTCCTATGAAACAAAACAAATGTTGAGCTACATACACAAACTTAATATCATAGAATCAAATAGGAAAATTGATGACCTCACTAATAATAAACTTTTAGACTCAAACCTCAGTGATAGGCAACTTATTGCTTCTAACTCTATTATGCTTGTTGGAAGGCCTTCAATGTCTCTTAGATGCTTGCACCCATTTAACCTAAGGGTCTTCAAAAATTGACATTCTTTTATCGATGCAGGAAAAATTGTAAAATTATTACCATTCAAGTCCATATCGTCACATTGATAAATCGAATAAGTAAACTTCTAAGGACCTCATTTGATAAATTTCATCCTAGGAGGTAAACATTAACTCTGTCAGGGCATGACATTGAATAGATTGCTTGTTCATAGGTTTCCTTCCGGATAGATGATTCCCACTTTCCACAATCTTCAACTTTGATATAACTCATTTCGGGGAATAGAAATATGCTTCTTGGCAACTCAATCATCCTTATGTGAGATTGAATGAATATAGTTCCAAGTTGAGTAAGGTTGGAAATTGACCAAGGCAATTTTTTTATTCCAGTTCCAAGCAATTTCAAACTTGTTATTTTCATATTTTCAAGTATTTTTGGAAAGTTCTTTAGATTTGAGCAACCACGTATTCCGAGTTCTTGAAGAGAGGGTAGCCTGAATTCATGTGGAAAAGTCTCAAGTCGGACGCAACTTGTTACTTCCAAGATTTCAAGTTTTGTTAAATGTCCAACTGAATCATGAATCTCAATCAAATACTCACAAGACTCAATGCATAATTCCTTTAAATTTTGGAGAGTAGATAGATTAGGTATCTCTGTAACATATTGACAATCTTCAAGCTTTAAACACTCAAATTCTTCATCCTCCGCAACAACCAAAATCATACAAAAAGTCTCAAAAAAAAAAAAAGAAAGAAAATGAAATAACAATTCATGCTGGCTACTAGGAAATACATATAAGTTAGGATCCTTTCTTCAATTTTTTCTAGTGAACTCAGACAACCATGTCTGAGGTCGAATACAACAAGATTGTTTGGGCAAAATTGATTTGGCAACCATGAATAGGGATATCCTTGCCATTTCAGTGCCTTTAAACTATTAGGAAAATATTTTGGATTTTCTAATAATTCCACATTCTCAAAAATAACAACTTTAAGATTTTTCATACCTCTTGAATTCAAGTTTTTCCATCCCAATTTACTTCCATGCATTGGGACAAATTATGTTGAATTATGATGCTAACTACATCTGTGCCCTTTAAAACCAAAAATAAATGCAAATCATGAGATATTAGAAGTGTAATAATAGAAAACTTTTTTGCTGAAAATTTAAAATCAATGACATATTGTGACATATACAAGCGGGGCCACCAATTAAATGGAAACCAAAAGAAAAAAGAAAAGAGAAAATTAAAAACAAAATCAAAGTCCTCAACGACCTAGCCTTTAAATATGTGTATACATGTATATAAGCCCAGCGCTCCACCCAACCTACTATTTTTTTTTTTTCCTTTTTTAGGCTAGATCCAAACCGTTTCCTTACATATGCATAAAATTGATTCTTTCTGTTACCAAAAATTTTCATTCTTTTACTAAATATTTATTAACTTATTTAAATGTAATTATATATTGATTTATTTTGAATAAAATTTGAAATATCTATTTAACATTTCATTCAAAACATCTAGCCAATTCCTTTTTTCATTTATGCAAGAAGAAAAAATATCTAGCCAATTCTATATCTCTTGAAAATAGACACTATAGTATAATCATTTTATTATATCATAAAAAATTGAACTTGTTATTCTTTTGTAAAATTTTTGAATTTTTCTTATGATTAATTTACTAATTATATATTTATTTTTGTACATTTCTGAACTTTTTCTACAATTTTTATATCATTATATATAATTTATTTTGAAAGGATTTTTCTTATACAATATAACACTCTTTCTTTTTTTAAAAATGATAATAAAATAAAAATTTAAACTTAAAATAATATATATACACAATTGAATGCTCAAAAGTATCACTGGACTAAAAGATAAAAATATCTTCTGTATTGAAACTATCACATCACTACAGAAAGGGCAACAAAACCTACAAAATTAATTTTACAACTGAATTACCTTTTTCTTTTTGTTTTCTTTTTTCCTTTTTAAATAAGACCTTCTCAAAAAATATTCCAATCAACTGATTCATTGATTCTATGCATTTGATTAATTTATGAAATAAAATAATGAATGAATAAGTCCAGATAACAAAGAAAAGAAATATGAATATCAACACTAAAATAAGGGTTAAGGGGAAAAAATGCTCTGAAAGTTTTTTGAAAGGAGTACTGAATAGCCTTACTTTTTAGGAGAAGCAATGTTATCCTAAAAGTATAAAAAATAAAGCAATGTTGCCCTTTCCATCAAATGACTAACATTGGCCCATGTCCATCTCTCACTCTGTCTCAAGTGTCATCTTCGCCATCTTCTTCCTTCTCTTTAAGCATTTGCATGACAAATCAAGCATATCGCCACAATCTATAAACAAAAACAAACTAATCTCTCAACTGTACATTAATTAATTCTTACTATTACTCACTTGATAAAACAAAGCTAGAAGTGGCGAGGTAGTGAACTTAATCTAGACGCAACATGCGACACGAAGCTTTAAATATGAAGCAAGTGATAGCTAAGATTTGGAAGCAATGAGGTGACGAACTCAATCCAACAGGTAGTGGAATGTAGACTAGAGTACGAGATGTGAACCGAGTGCAAATCAGCACAGATCGACAGCAAGTGTAGACAATTAGGGCAGCTTTGTGATGGATGAAGTCCCACAACACAAGATCCTACTTTAGCAACGCAAATAGATGACTAGATGCATGACGGAGTTTAGCGGCACAGTAGACTAGGTGCCGTGGCAAAATCGTCTTTGAGTTCATTAGCTGAAAAGAGAAATAAAGAAAGCAAACTAATATTTGAATCAATGAAGGGAGGGAGGAAATTTCATAAATTGATATGGGGTTGGAATTGAACTTGGATGATTAAGCTTCTTCTCACATCCTACTTGCAAATCAAGCATATCATTCTCATGGATTTCATGCAAATTCCAACTATTTTCAGGCAATTTCAGTAACTTGTTAGTCAACAGTTGGAAAAAGGCGACATTACTATATTTTTCATACTTTCAAGGCAACATTACTCCACTTAAAATATAAGATATCCAGTATTCATTTTAGAAAAATTTTCAAACATTTTTAACCCCTTAACCAATAAAATAATATTCCACCAAGAAATTGTGAAAAGAACAATAAATTTACAAGGAAAAAATGAAAAGTAGATATGAAATAGTGTTAGTTACTGTATGGTCTTCCAAAACATGAACAATATCTTCATGGAACCATAATCTACTATGTTTTCCTGGCTCGTTAGGTGATTCTTGATGAACTATTTCTCTCCCCATATCTTGTATCAAACCTTGCATTTCAATGCATGAATCTTCAATATTTATGAGGCATTTATCCTCCAACACACCAATAAAATAACTTGGATTATTAAAGCCATAAATTGCTTCCACCATATATTTAATGTGCCCTAAAGATTCCCCTTTGAAGAAACAAGCAATAACAAGAAATATTTCTTTCTCAAAGTGTCCTAGGTCATCATCATAGCTAACTTTCAATACTTGTTGAATGTCTTTACTTGGAATTAATTTAAATGCATCTAAAGCAGATTCACACTCATTTATATTCCTTCCATACATGTTAGAGCCTATTACTTCAAGAGCCAAAGGAAGGCCTTTTGCATAATTTACTGCGGGATTCAACACCATGATGTTACTTGGATTTACTTGGTTGCTTCTAAAAGCATTCCAATTTAACAATTCAAGAGATTCTTCATCATCAAGAGCCTTTATGTCATATATATGCTTAATCCCATGTCTTTCAAGCAATTGCTTATTCCATGTCATTATAATGGTCCTACTCCCACCACTAAACCAATTAAAATCACCTACCAATTTTTCCAAATGCTCATGTTTGTCAACATTATCAAGAATCAAAAGAATTTTCTTTTGTTTGAGTCTCATTCTTATGGCTTCAACTCCTTCATTAGCATCTTGTATTCTAATGTCCACTCCTATAATCTTGGAAATCATTGTCTCTTGCATTTTTTGGAGGCCAAGCTTGCTTGAGCTTTCTTTGATGTCATGGAGAAAGTGCATGCCATCAAAATTGTCAGCAACTAAATTATACACTAACATGCTATTAATGTTTTACCTATTCCCCCTGTTCCACAAATTCCTATCATGTTGACCTCTTCATTTGATCTAATTTCTAATAAAGATTTTATACTTAGCACTCAAGACTTTAATCCAATAGGGTATCTAGCAACATATAAAGGACCCCTATCAATTTTACTAGATATTTTTTTCACAATCTTGTCAATTACTTGATATTCATAAGCATGCCTGAAAAATTGTAAAAAGTAATGTCAATTCTAAGTAAATTCATCCTAGCAATAAATTTATGTTTATTCACTTATAACCTGATACAAAGATAAGTAAGGAAAAACAACTTAAAAGTTATGAATCACCTTGGATCAATATGGAAGCTAGAAATGTTAGACACTTTATGCAATGCAAGCTTCCAAGTTTGTATCTTCTCCTCATCAACCTTACATTTTTTCTTATGCATAGATAGTGCTTGTTGATAATTCTCCTTTTGATGTCTCACTTCTGAAGGCTCCACGTCATAAAAAATTGGCAAAACTAGCCGTCCATTTCTCTTAATACACTAATAGATCATAACAAGCTCATTGAGACAAAATGATGAGGAAGCATAGTTCTTAGAAAATACAGTAATGGCCATCCTAGAATTTTCAATTGCTGTGGGAAGTGCTGGAGTAATTTCATCCCCTCTTCTTAGTCCCTCATCATCAAGGAAGGTGCAGATTCCCTTTTGTCTTAGACAATGCTACAAATTTCCTGTAAACCCAAAACGAGTATCTTCACCCCTAAAATTGATAAAAACATCATAAGTCCATTTGTAGCAGAAGGAAGATGTTGCTTTTAACCCGCCATGATGGCTTCCTGCCAGTGGAAAAGAAGAAACCATCGTTAATTTAACTTAAAAACATTGTGATTGGTGAGATCGAAAGATATGGAAATGAAGATTTGAATGAACTTACTTACCAAGCTGATGACGAAGTAAATGTGAGGTAGATGAATAATATAAAATTTGAGCTTGCCGTAATGGGATTGATTAATTAGTTTCTCTAATAAAATGGTGCTAGTTTTTTGTCCTTTTTTTAATTCAATTTTTAACAACAAATTAGAACAATATCTTGCCTATTGTCTTACTAAAGTCGATTGACAAGTATAACAAAAATAACATAAAAGAATGTGATGAATAAGTTAATTTTGTATAAACTAAATAATAAAGGAAAATAAAAAATTATCATGAACACTGAAGTGAAAAAATAACATTAACTAAGAAATAGCGGAAAATATTAATTTATTTTTTAATCAATTAAAAAGATTTGATTTAGCCTCTTCATTTCTCACCTCAGTCTTACACCAAAACTAATATCAGTGACAACTGTAATTTCATATTAAGTGTTAGTTAAGAGTAATAGATAACTATCAAAAATTTTTTCCCAAAAATAACAAGCCACTGAGAAAACCAGATGTGACTCTCAAGGATGTACAGAGAGCATAGAAATTAAGTGTTAGTACATGTTTGATTGAAGGATAGAAATTAAAATTATAGAGATAGTGATTAGGTGAGAAAGTAGAAGAAAAATTACCTGAAGGATTGAACTGAGAATGATATGACAACGTCGAATAAGGAGAACTCAAGCGACGTTGGATCGTTGTGAGAGGAACGATGTCGTCAAAATTACTAGGAGCTTTGGTTGCTCTAACTCAAATTAACAGCAAGAGATTGACGACCATCTATGTTAAGGCTGATATGGAGGAAGAGAAATTAGATAATCCATCATGGCATTCAAATCACACCAAACCAAATGATTAAAGAAGCACAGGGAATGGTTGTGTCACACCCCAAAATATGAGAGTGACTAGCATGGAATATGCACTTAAACACATATTCCTTAATCCTAATTCAAGAAATTTTCCATTTTTAAAAATTACTCTTTTAAATAAAGCATTAATATTTTTGTGAAAATTCTAGTAGAATCTTCCTTGATATAAATAGGATTTCCTGAAATTCTACAATACAAATTTTCAGATAAATATCATAACAACTGGGAATTTAGTTCCTTCCAACTAGCAAACATGGTATTTGACAAAATAAGGACCCTAACTATAGCCTATATAGAGTGGCTAACATAATGCTTATAGAACATAATACATGGATTTAAGATTACATCAAAAGAAACTTGATCTACCATTCTTTACTTCAACTCAATACTAAAACCCCTTAATGATTAACAAAAGATACAACAGCAGTTAATGTATCTGAGACCAAAGAATTATTTTTTAGTGAATAACATTTCAATTTACAATTGAAAAAAATAATGGAAAGAACATCAATGAGTCAATTATTATCTTAATAAAATAATTAATTGAAATAATACAAACACATATATCATAGATCGACAGTTATATATATATATAAACCACAGATGTGTGATTTCAAATAAAGATTCATAGAAATTCAAGTTCCACCATTAGGTTATAATATATCCTTTAAACAATTAAACAACAATAAATAAATAAAAATATAGCTTGATATATAAAATCCATGTTTGATGAAAGAACAACTTATTTAGCAAAATCAAGTTAAACAAATAGAAATTTTCAAAACTCACTTTTAGCAGGACTTAATCAAAACAAATAACAAGTGTGGACATAAAGTTCACGAGAATAACTAACCAATCAAGCATGAATACATAGTCCATAAAGGTAAATAACTAATCAAGTGCAACTTAAATGTAATGATCTAGATAAATAAAATAAAAAATAAACACATAATAATGACAACAATGAGTGTTTGAAGCAATTATGACAACAATGAGTGTTGGCACAGTGGAAGTGCACGCATAAGTCATCCATTGGGTCCAGAGTTCAAATCTGCTGATGAAAAAGGGAAGTTGATTTTTATGACTTTAGCTTTATGAAATTACCAATATACCCTTTCTATATCAAATTTATTTTTCTCTCTTCTCTTCCTTATTTCCATCTCAGCTGGATAGAGTGGGAGGGAGAGAATGTTCTAAAACTCAGGTACGCTCTGATCTTCGTTTCCTCTACCATCTTTGATCTCTTCTCTTCCTCGTTCACTCTTTGCTGTCGCTGATGAGAGAGTTGAGATGCTGTGCATTTTCTGTTGTTGGTTCACCATTTTTAGTCGTGTTTGCTCTGTTTCTTGTTCTTGACCATGTTTCTTCCTCCATTCTTTCTGTTCGTTGATGATGAGCAAGTAAAGAGCTAATTTGAGGTTGTAAGAGAATTGACTTATGGGTTGGAGGTTGGAATCGTGCTGTCTTCTTCTTCCCCAGTTCAGTAGTAGGTTCTGCTCTTATCTTCCCTGTGCGTGTGTCATCAGCTGCCTAAGGTGAGAAGCTTCACTCTCTTTCTATTACTATGTACGTGTAGTTTTGGAGGGGAATGGTGAAGTAAAGCTGGAAAAAAAAAATCTTCTGCCAGCCGTGAATGATGTAGATCTAGTTGGGAATTGATTTTCTTTGGGTATAAAAAAAAAGATGAAAAAAATTTAACTGTGTTGAAACACTGAAATTTGGAAGCTGAATTTTTTTAAACATGGATGATTGAAGTTGCAATTTCTCCCTTTGGTTGCTGCTGTCGTGGCTGTGTGAGAAGGAGAAAAGTAAACATTGAAGTTAAATCTCTGGTTTAGTGTTGCCATGTGAAATGAATTTAAATTTTTGAAGTTAAGATTTATTTATTCAGTGAAGAAATTGAACTTAGGAAGCTAATTTACTTATTTATTTCTATATTAGAGAATTTTGGGGGATGGAATCAAAGAGGAAGAATTTTGTTGGGCTTAAAAAAATTAAAAATTAAATTAGTGTATGTAAGGTGTTTGATATGTTCAAATTGAGTATTACTACTTTATGAAATTAAGTTGAAGATTCCAAAGGAAATTTGAGTGTATCAAACTATTTGAAAACTTGGTAAGATACGGTTGTGGATGAATTTTGTGATAAGAGATTGGAATAAAAAGAAAAAAAAAAAAGAAAAGACCTTATCAGTAGGTTGGAAATGATGCATGGTTGATATTTGACAAAAAGATTAAGAGAAGATGGTATTTTAATGAAGCGTTGGGCTGTGGCTTTTGAGAGATCATTATGTGTAAAGTTTACTCTTAAAATTTCAAATTTACTATAGCAAAATTTTGATAGTAAAGATGTTGGGAGGAAGTAATTGAAATTATAGATAGTTTATTTAAACATCTTAAATTAAGCGTCCCAACTGATATTCAATAAAAATTCCTTTATTAAAATATTACATTTTTATGCATATTCTTTTTACAACAACAATGTGATTATTATATATTTTGCTGATTAAATTACTTTATTTCGTGGAATTATTTTATTAGATTTGATAATTTTAGTTAATCAGTAAATATAAATTTGGATTCTAGTTATGAGATTTTAGTATGAAAATTATTGAATTGCTACAAAAAAAAGCTATTCATGCAAGTTTGACATTGAAAATGCAAATTTTATTCTAATGGTGAATATTTTCTCGCATGTTTGAAATTAGGTTTAAAAAGGAACTTTATACAGAACACTGGTTGCTAGCGGCAATTCTATTAGCCCTTGGTATGCCATGATACACCTAGCTAGCAGGATGTTTATAAGAGGTGCTAGCCCCGTACGATGGCCAAGGCATGTGGAATGGAGGGATGGCTTTCCATCCCAATTTACTTCCATGCATTCAAGCCAATTGTCTTGAATTATAATACTGACTTCATCTGTGCCCTTTCAAGCCAATAATAAACGCAAATAATGAGATATTAGAAGTTTGATGCAATCATGAATATCATTACCAACATTACTTCGCCATAAATTCAAAATCAATGACATGCAAGGGGGGGCACAACAAGTAAATATAAACCGGCCGCCACCCCAACCCATTTTTTTGACCTAGACCCAAACTGGCATTTCCTT